CCCGCCTGGCCGTGGAGGGCATGGTGGAAGAGCTCATCGCCAGCCACGCCGATGTGAATGCTGTGGACGAGCTCGGTAGGCTGGTGGGGGCTAGTGGTGGGTGGGGGCTGAGAGAATGTCTCATGGACCCTGACCGTCTTGTTGGTGTGAACTCGCAGCCACATTTTGACTCAATCACTGAAGCTCATGTACACATAATGGGCTTGAACATGGACTTACACTTTCATGCATTTTTTTAATGGTGTCCACTAGCTCATGGGGTGCATCAGTGATTTAGAAAAAGGTATCCTTCCCTAAGACACTTCATTTCCAACTACTTTGTTAGAAGAACTTACTCTGCTGCCATCTGTTGGGAAGTTAGTGTAATAAATTTGTAAATCGCCCAAATCTGTACGTGGTGGCCACTCCCTCCCTGCAGGTGGCTTGCTTGCACAGAGTTGTGCGGATTCACAACCTGTCCTCATGTCCAGAGGACCTCACACAACTGTAGATACACTCAGATGCTCACAAACCTCCTTTGGAACAGGTGTTCTCAACCTCGGTACCATTGACTTTTGGGTTCAGGTCATTTTTGGTGGTGGAGACCACCCTGTACAATGTGGAATGTTAAGCAGCACCTCTGGTCTTGAACCAGTAGATGCCAGTAGCACCCTACCTCCCAGTTATGACAACCAGAAATGTCTTCTGACATTGCCAAATGCCCCTGGGGGAGTAAATCACCTTGGCTGAGAAATATGGCTCTAAAGGAGCACTAGCCAACAGAACTTTCTGTGATGATGGAAATAGTCTGTCTTTGCTGTCTGGTATGGTAGTCACTAACAACATGTGGTAACTATTAAGTACTTGTAATGTGGCTGGGGTGAATGAAGAACTAAATGTTTTATTTCATTTAATGTTTTTTTTTAAAATTTATTTAATGTTTTAGTCTTTGTTTCACCTATTAAAAAAAACTTTATTAAGATATAATCCGCATACCATATAGTTTACCCATTTAAAGTATAAAATCCAATGGCTTTTAGTATAATCACATAGTCGTGCAAATATCATCACAATAAATTTGAGATTTCCATCACCTGAAAAAGAAGCCCTCCCCTCTTAGCCATCACCCCCTCGCCCTCCAATCCCCTCATCTTCCCTGCCTGAGGCAACCACTAGTATACTTTTTGCCTCTATTTCATATCAAAGGAATCGTACAATATGTAGTCTTTTTTGACTGACTTCTTTCAATTTGCATAACGTTTTCAAGGTTCATGAAGGGTATAGCATGTATCAGTATTACTTCTTTTTTTCAATGACTGAATAATATTTTATTGTATGAACACACCACATTTTGTTTGTCTATTCATCCATTGATGGACATTTGGGTTCTTTCTAATTTTGGGGTGGTTTCTACTTTTTATAAATAATGCTGCTCTGAACATTCATGTACAAGTTTTTGTGTAGACATATCTTCTCGTTTTTCTTGGGTAGATGCCTAGGAGTGGAATTGCTGGGTCACAAGGTGACTATGTTTAACCTTTTGAGGATCTGCCAGACTCTTTTTCCACAGTGGCTGCCCCATTTTTCATTTCCGCCAGTAGCGTATGAGGGTTCCAGTATCTCCACATTGTTGTCAACACTTTTTATTATCTGTCTTTTTGTTTATAGCTGTTCCTAGCGGAAGTGAAGTGGTATCTCATTGTGATTTTGATTTTTGTTTCCCTGATGGCTAATGATGTTGAGCATCTTTTCATGCCCTTTTTAGCCATTTGTACATCTTCTTTGGAGAAATGTCTATTCAGATTCTTTGCCCATTTTTAATTGGGTTATTTGTCTTTTTTATTATTGAGTTAAAAGAGTTCTTTATATATTATAGGTATGTCTCTTATTAGATATATGGTTTATAAATATTCCTCCCAATTAGTAGGTTTTCTTTTCATTTTTTTAATGTTGTCCTTAGAAGCACAAAAGTTTTAATTTTGATGGTGTCCAATTTATTGATTTTTGTTGTTGTTATTATTGCTTGTTTTTGGTGTCATATCTAAGAATCCTTTGCCTAATTCAGGGTCATGAAGATTTACTCTTGTGTTTTCTTTTAAATGTTTTAGCTCTTATATTTAGGTCTTTGATTCATTTTGAATTATTTTTTGTACATGGTGTGAGGTTGGGGTCCAACTTCATTCTTTTGTATGTGGAGACCAGTTGTCCAAGCACCGTTTGTTGAGAAAGCTATCCTTTCCCCATTGAATGATTTTGGCACCTATTTTATTGAATTTTAATTAATTTAAATCTAAAGAGGCACATGATACTGGTAGCTACTGTACTGGACAGCACATCTGTGGGTACTAGCAACTGAGGGCTTCACAGTTTCCTCTGTCTATGGAGAGTCTCATGTGCAGATGTGCACACACCTGCATAATGTCTTGCCCGGACAGAGTCATTCCACAGGACTGTGCATGCACGCGCGCGCGCGCGCGCACACACACACACACACACACACAGATGCAAACACAGGCACTCAAATATTCATGGCACGTCTGCTTTTCCCCCCAGGCCATATTCTGGGCACTTCCTGCTTCCCTGCCTTGGGGGGCCAGGACGTGAGCCTGGTTCTGACCCTGACCTCTCTCCTCTCCCCCAGGGAAATCAGCCTTACACTGGGCTGCAGCTGTCAACAATGTGGAAGCTACCTTGGCCCTGCTCAAAAACGGAGCCAACAAAGACATGCAGGATAGCAAGGTGAGCCCTAGCCCTCGACACACCTGGGGGTCAGCCCTGGCATAGCCCTCCACAGGTAGCGGAGAGCAGGGTGAGGTAGGCGAGGGGGCATATTTACTCTGCCGGCAGCCAGCTTTCAGGGGTGGAATTTGGGCCCAGGAGGCTCCAACAGAAGATCAGTGTTCTCATCTGTGAAGTGAGGAAGCGATAGTACCCATCTCATTGCCTCTTCTGAGGATTCAGTGAAGTAATGTGCTTAGCAGATCCTCAATAAAAGGTAACTGTTATGATTGTTGTTTAGAAAGCCTTGCAATGTGGTATTACTCTCCTCATTTCACAGATGAGAAGAATGAGGCTCAGAGGGGTTCAGGGGCGAATTCAGTCTTTACATGAAATTTCCATATTTGTTATGAGCTTTTGGGTATAATTTACATGAAAAAGCATTGCATTAAACTATTTATTTATGATTGAGGTTTATGAATTTTGTGCTTAAGGTGAGTGCCTCACTCTCTTCACCCTACTCCTGACTCTGGGGCTTGGAGCTCAATAGGTGCAATTGAATGTGGCTTAAAGGAAAGAATTTGCCCAGGTGGCCCAGTCAGACCTGGGATTCTAACCCAGGTCTTTTGGGCTGGAGAGTATGCACATTAGCTCTCAGGTTTCACCAGAGGCTGGAGGCCTTGGTGATGTTGACTGAGAGTCCATTTTGACCTTCGTGACCCTGACATCTTGTGGGTTCTGGATCCCCCCAGGAGGAGACTCCCTTGTTCCTGGCTGCCCGGGAGGGCAGCTACGAGGCTGCCAAGCTGCTGCTGGACCATTTTGCTAACCGTGAGATCACCGACCACCTGGACAGGCTGCCACGCGATGTGGCTCAGGAGAGGCTGCACCAGGACATTGTGGGCCTGCTGGACCAGCCCAGTGGGCCCCGCAGCCCCCCTGGCCCCCACGGTCTGGGGCCCCTGCTCTGCCCACCTGGGGCCTTTCTCCCGGGCCTCAAGGCGGCACAGTCAGGGGGCAAAAAGAGCCGGAGGCTACCAGGGAAGGCCGGGCTGGGGCCGCAGGGCACCCGGGGCCGGGGCAAGAAGCTGACACTGGCCTGCCCAGGCCCCCTGGCTGAAAGCTCGGTCACACTGTCACCTGTGGACTCACTGGACTCCCCGAGGCCCTTTGGTGGCCCCCCTGCCTCCCCTGGAGGCTTCTCCCTAGAAGGGCCCTATGTGGGCGCCACTACCACGGCTGTGTCCCTGGCACAACTTGGTGGTGCAGGCCGGGCAGGTCTAGGGCGCCAGCCCACCGGGGGCTGCGTCCTCAGCCTGGGCTTGCTGAACCCTGTGGCCGTTCCCCTTGACTGGGCCCGGCTGCCCCCGCCTGCCCCGCCAGGCCCCTCATTCCT